ATTTATGTCCATTACAGCACACCACCTGCCTCCCCCAGCCCCTTTCTCTCCTCCTGACCCAATCACAACTCACATACGTTAGCTCAGTGCCATCCACAGACAAGAGTCAAGGGTATAAGAGAACAGGAAAGCCTCCATTCAAATTTTCCTGCACAACATTTTTTAAAGACGTGCATCATATATATCCTTACCACAAGCACATATGAAGTCTCAGAAGACACACAAGAATAGTATTCATTAAATATTTAATGGATGTTTATTACGGCAGCACATTAGGGTTAGAGAAATCATGTCCATAATACAAAGAGTTGTCCTTGTGCTGTCTATATACTTTATCAGGTATTTGCTGTATTTGCTCTATAAGGTAAGCGTGTATCATCAATCTGGACGGTACAAATCTGTCCAATTTAGATATGTGCAACCTAATTTTAACTCCAGCAATCATTAAAGGTTCAATTCTTGAAGGATGTTAGCAAAACTCAAGTTAAAGTTCCAAGGCGTTATAAAAATAGAGGATAAAGGATAAAATTCTAGGCATCATTAAATAATAAATGAAAACTATCTATCAGGCACTATGCTCCGTACCTGGGTGCCTGGGTTAATGGACGGATAGACAGATGGATGTATGACAAAGCAAATACACTGAGGAGCACTATGTTCTGTGCCTAGGTATAATACACCCATGTAACAAACCCGTGCAGGTACCCTCTGTATGTAAAACAAAAGTTGAGAAATAAAATCATTTTTAAATGTGAATGATACATTTGAATGCTCTGTAATAGAAATTCTAGAAGGCATCTATCTCCAAGTAAGCCAGGCATGCCAGCAGGCCCTGCTTTGGTAAGATAGCCCTTCCAGGTAAACACTTTTTCCTGTTCAAAAAAACCAACTCTCCACAGTTTTCCTCTTTTGAAAGATCTTGAAATGGGCTTACTTATTTGGAATTCAATGGCCTTCACCCTTGCTTTCTGCCTTGTTTCGTCTTTACAGGTCTTACCAAAAGGCTTGTGTGATTCCCTAGTCGCCCCACAAATTACTAGTGTTTTGTTGTTGTTGTTGTTGTTGTTGTTTTTCTGAGGAGTTTCGCTCTGTTGCTCAGGCTGGAGTGCAGTAGCATGATCTCAGCTCACTGCAACCTCCTCTTCCCGAGTTCAAGCGATTCTCCTGTTTCAGCCCAAGTGCTTGGGACTTCAGGCTCTTGCCACCATGCCTGGCTAATTTTTGTATTTTTAGTAGAGATGGGTTTTCACCATGTTGGCCAGGCTGGTCTCAAACTGCTAACCTTGTGATCCACCCACCTCGGCCTCCCAAAGTGCTGGGATTACAGGTGTGAGCCACCACACCTGACCATTAGTGTTTAAAAACATTTGTTTTGTTTTCCTGGGGTAAGGGAGGTGTAAACAGATTACCCCAAAGCCCCATCTCTTTGATCTTCAGAAAGGGAAGAATAAATCACTGCAGTTGTGTTCTTCTGTTTATGAGGATTGATCTATATACCTAACCAGACTGCAAAATGTTCAAAGTTGGAATTCAAATATAAAACCTGCATTAATTTAAAACCCTAGTAGGCAACACCAGAGTTGCAAAGGATTACTCTGTTTTAAAGGATCATAGAGGTGCTTGTTATTCTATTTTGCCTTAATGACATACTGTTGTTTTCATCTATGATTTATTTGATGCTATATCTCCAGTCTGGAACAGAGCTCTCAATTATTATAACAGTTTCCATGGAGACATATGATCTATTCTTTCATTGCTCCCCAGTGATCCATTCTCCCACGACTCCACCCACTACCCCCAACCCCAATCCTTTCCATGGGACCCTCCAGAACTTCCAGTCTTCCATCAAACATCCTTTTATCTGTTTTGTTAAGTGATCAAAAACAGGCATAATACACGAATTTTTGAGTTAACAAGGGCTAGAGTAAAAATGTTAAATTAGCTCAGGGGGACTGGAAAGACGGAAATTAACTGAATAAATGTGTTCACATAGGGAGAGCAGTAGCAGCGACTGGTCAGAGAAAGATGTGATCCAGGATGGGAGCAGGACTTCTCAGCGTTTAGCCTTTTAACATAATCTTAATGATGAATCATGTGAATGCCTGGCTTATTGAGAATATCATTTAGGACAGATATGGTGGCTCACACCTGTAATCCCAGCACTTTCGGAGGCCACAGCAGGAAGATTGCTTGAGCTTATAAGTTCCTGAGCAGCCTTATAAGTTCTTGAGAAACATAGTGAGATCCTGCCTCTACAAAAAATACAAAAATTAGGCCAGGCACAGTGGTTCACGCCTGTAATTTCAGCACTTTGGGAGGCCAAGGTGAATGGATCATTTGAAGTAAGGAGTTTGAGAGCAGCTCAGTCAACATGGTGAAGCCCTGTCTCTATTAAAAACCATAAAAATTAGCCAGGCATGAGGCTGAGGCAGGAGAATCAATTGAACCTGGGAGGTAGAGGTTGTAGTGAGCTGAGATGGTACCATTGCAGCCCAGCCTGAGTGACAGAGTGAGACTCTGACTCAAAAAAGCAAAAACGAAAATTAGCCAGGCATGGTGGTGCATGCCTGTAGTTCCAGTTATTTGGGGACTGAGGCAGGAGGACTGCTTGAGCCCAGCGTTTCGAGGCTGCGGTGGACCATAATTACAACACTACATTCCAGCCTGGGCAACAGAGTGAGACCCTGTCTCAAAAAGAAAAAAAAAAAAGTGCTCATTTAATTTTTTTTTAAACTCAACTTATTAGAACCTCTTCTTTATGTAGGCCACTTTCTTCCCCATCATCAGAGAAACTGCTCCACATTTGAAATCTAAATGCCTCAGTTCTTCCTAACATTTGAAGGATCTTGACCTCATCCATTTTTTTTCATCCCTAGACTTCTAAACTCCTTTTTTTTTTTCCCACCCAGGTGATGACCCTCTTCATGCTAGACATCTTCCCCAACTCAATCTAGAAACCATTTTCATTCATGTATTCAACACGTGAATTCATCATCCACCTTTCCTGAGCACTTGATACAGGCTCTACGGGTCTGCAGTGAGCACCCTTCTTCCCAGAATCCTTAACTCTCTTTCTTCCTTCATCTTCTAGTTCACTGATTCTACGAATCCCACCCTTAGTTCAAATCTACCATCTCCTTCTCCATCTCCACCCCAGGGATGCTCAGAGCTGCTGGTAAAACCATACAAGAGTGTGGACCACTGCCAACTGCCTATTCCCGACCTTAGGGGCTGGATGGGTGATCTTCCTGGCGTGGAGGCTCCTTAGTCTTTGGGCCATCATCTCAGATCCTTGAGTCCATCTCAGTGGATGCCCTTCCACCCACAGACAGAGAACTCATGCATTCAATCTAGGCACTGAATGAATTTGATTCCCTCGTCCCTGAAGACACCCTGGCGACCAGGACAGAGAAGATCCCTACTCTTGCAGAGCTTAGCTCTTAGAAAGGGAAGACAGAAAAATCGAGGAAGCAAGAAAAGCATTGCTCAGTGATGGGTGCTATGAGAGAGTTAAATATAACGGACAGTGAATGAGCGGCTACTTTGAGTGGGTAGCTGGGGAAGATGTTTCAGAAGAGGTGGCGTCTAAGTTGAGATGTGAATTGCAGGACGGAGCCAGCCATGCAAACAGCAAAGGGAGCAGCATCACAAAAGCTCTAAGGGAGAAAGGAGCTTCGTGTGTTTCAGTAACCCGAGAGCTGATGCGGTGGCCAGAGCACACTGGGTGGTGGGGAGAAGAAAAAGAAGAAAAGAAGTCGCACAGGGAACAAGGGCCAGATGATAAAGGGTGACACAAGCTAAGGATGTAACATAGAATTTATTCTAATTGTGATGGAAAGCCATCGGAGGGTCATAAGCAGGGGAGCTCCTTGACCTAATATAGGTACTAGCTTTAAAAAATTATTATGGCTGTTAAGTAGAAAGCGTATTAATAGTAAGTAACAAGATTGGGAATAAGAAACCACTGAGGAGTTTCTGCAGTTGTTCAGGTCATATCGATGGTTTAGATGAGGGTGGTATTAGAGAGATGAAGAGAAGTTAGTGAATACGTGACACGCTTTAAAGGAACTGTCAGAATTCGCCAATGTATTGTACATGATCATAGGGACAGGGGCGATAGGCAGGGAGGTGGGAATAAAGGAAAGAGGGAAACTCAGGGATCTCATCCAGGTTTTCGGCTTAAGTTATATAGATGGCAAAGAAACGTATATTTTTTTGCACACCTGAGTTCACAGTATGAGATTTATGCTAGACATCTTTGTGGCACACAAAGGGACTAAAAAACCCAAAACAACACTAAACGAGTCAGCAATACTTATAACACAATCCCCACTTCAGTAAAACAGCATCTCGCCCTATCTATAAAAGCATCCAGAACCACTCTATGAGTCCCAGAGTCATCCTTCCACTGTGCTACTGTTTGAAAGGAACCACTTCTGTTCTTGGCTGTCAGGGTGATCTTTTCAAAAAGGCAAATCTGATCGTGTCACTGCTCTGCTTAAAAACGTTCAATGGCTTCCCACTGCACTGTGAATGAAACCCAAACTGCTCATCGTAGCCTATCAAGTTTGCATTCCTGGGCCCTGCTTATCTCTGCAACGTCACATCCTACACCTCCTTCTGCTCGTGACATTTTGGCCCCAGCACCTTCTGATGGTTCCTAGGATGCACCCAGCCTGTCCCCACCTAGGAACTTTTGCACTTGCTCTCTCGGCTGAGAATGTTCTTTCCTGGCTCTTTGAAAGCATAGCTAGTTCTTTCTCATCCTCCAGGTCTCAGCATATGTGCACCTCCTCAGACTGTCTGAGTGGGTCCCCTCTTTGTTTGTGACACAGCACTCCATTCATTTACTTCATGGTATTCATTACAAAGTGTAGCGTGGGTCTATTTACTTCTTAGTCTCTTTCCCACTAGAATGTCCATCCCATAGGAACAGCGAACGTGCCTGCCTCGTTAGATGTTCCTTCTGAAGCAGGTGCAGCCACCAAATCATACCGTACCTTGCCAAAGCTGCCTTTCCCCAGCACCATTAGGAAGTTAAAATCGGTCAGTTTCATCCGGTCTCTGTTGCCATTGTTGTCAAATTTGGAGACAGTGTTGGTCGTCTTTTCTTCTGGGACCTTGGTTCCCTGACTGATCTTGGCCCTCTGCAAAAAGGAAGCACACAGAAAACATGCTTAGAGTTTGAGGATGCTCTTGTAGGAAGATACAAGCACAGAATGGGAAGCTGTGGTTCCTGCAGCTCCGGCACCCTGTCCCCGTGAAAAAAAATGGCTGCACATCACTCCACACGCCTGAAACCTGTCAGACATCCTTGGTGCCTCTATCTTTCTCTTTTCCCTCATGTCTCATCCATAACCAGGAACTGTCATTTCTTTCCTCCTAGCCATCTCTAGAATTCATCTACTTCTTTCCATCTCAACCATCACCACCTGCCATCATCTCTCACCTGCACAAGGCACATTAATTTTCTTTACACTGGGCTTCACACACAACGACAGTGAGTCTCTCACCCAACCAAGTCCCCTCCTGCTTAAAAGGCCCCAGTGGCATCCCATTATTTTCAGGATAAAGACCGAGGTGCTTTCACAGACCTATATGATCAGGCTCTACCTGGCTCTCCAACTCCATCCTTGCTAGCTTCTTCCTTGCAATGTAGTGCTTCTTCTTTCACTCCCTTGGATGTCCCAGGCCCCTCCAACCACAGGGCCTTTGCACCTGCTGCTGTTGTTGCAGTATAAATGGCTATTCTCTTCCCTTCAGCAAAGCTAGAGGTTCACATCTTCATGTCCTCGGGGAAGCCTCATTGATTCTCCCTGTCTGCACTAGGTTCCCCTCTGATTTTCTCCCTTCATCCACTTCTCTTCTCATTAATACTGGAGGATAACTGCCTGTTCACTTGTTTCCTTCCAATAAACTGGAGGCTCTGTGGAGGATATGCAATAGTTATCATTCTCTGTGGTTTTCCTGACAACTGGTATAGTTCCCAGCTAAATATTTGTTGCATAAATGGATGAGTGAGGGCTGTGTGTGTCCTCAGTGTAATAAGAGAGGGACTTCTTGCCATGAGTGGTGGAATGGGACTCAGAGTGGCAGCAGATGCTTTGGAATGAGGCAAGAACCAGAAGCCATGGGAGGAAGACCTGCAGCCACCAGGACTTCGTTGCTGGATTCACTTCTAGCTGAGAGAAAACGAGTTAAAAGCTCATGTGTGGCTAGGCACGGTGACTCACATCTGTAATCCTAACACACTTTGTGAGGCTAAGGCAAGAGATTCGATTGAGGATAGAAGTTTGAGGACAGCCTGGGCAACATAGCAAGACCCTGTCTCTACAATGATAAAGCCATTAGCCAGGCATGGTGGTGTGTACCTGTCATGCAGCTACCAGGGAGGACCGCTTTAGCCCAGGAGTTAGAGGATGCAGTGAGCTATAATCAGACCACTGCCCTCCAACCTGGGCAACAGAGTGAGATCCCATCTCTCTCTCACTCCAAAAAAAAAAAAAAAAAAAAAAGGCTCACAGTAGAATCCTCTGACATGAATCAGCTGGGTGGTCCAGAACACATCTGATTCATGCCATAACATTTCTCTGCCCAAACGTCCTGTACCTTCCCATTATTCTCAGGCTAAAAGCCAACAGCCACAGATGACTAGGCCCCTTTGGAACCTCTCTGATTTCAGCCTCCTTGCTGCTTCCACACTGGCCTCCTTGCTGCCCTCTGACTGCACTAGACATGCTCTTACCATGGGGCCTTTGCACCTGCTGTTCCCTCTGCTCAGAGCACTCTTCCCCCAGAACTCCTTCACCACTGATAAGAGGTGAGAATAAAATTGCTCTCAGCAGTCTCCATTCCCCTTACTTACTTGCTTTTCTCTATAACACTGTCACCATCTTACAAACCGTATATTTTCTTGTTCCCCAATTTGTCATCTTTTTCCTTATACCAGAAGGTAAGCTCCCCGAGGGCAAGGATTTTGTCTGTTTTGCTTTCCATTGTTTCCCTGGTACTTAGAAGAGTGTGGCACAGAGAAGGCACTTAATTGCATTTCGTGATTGAATCTTCCTAAACCTTCATCAGCTTTTCAAAACAATAGAGATAATGACATGAAATGAGGTACTAAGGGCTCTATCACAGAGTCCTTAGCACCATTCCTGGCTCACAATAGATGCCCAGAGAATGGTAGCTATTATTGTTGCATTGTATTTGGTTGTTTTGAAGATAAAGAAGCAACATAAATCTTTCCAGAGTTTTGAATATCAGGGAAGATTCATTCATTTATTCAAAAAACATTTATTGAGGCTGGGCCTGGTGGCTGATGCCTGTAATCACAGAGCTTTGGAAGGTTGAGGCAGGAGAATTGCTTGAGCCCAGGAGTTCAAGACCAGCCTGGGCAACAGAGCCACATCCCATCTCTAAAAAAAAAAAAATTAATTAGCTGGATATGATGGCAGTGGGCCTGTAGTCCCAACTACGTGGGAGGGTTAAGACAAGAGAATCCCTTGAGCCCAGGAATTGGAAGCTGCAGTGAGCTATGATCACTATATTGCATTCCAGCCTGGCCAACAGAGCAAGACCCTGTCACAAACAAACCAACAAACAAACCAAAAATTCTTATTGAGTACCTGCTACGTGCTAGGTGCTGCTCTAGGTGCTGAGAGTACATCGGGGGCAAAATAGATGCAGATACTCAAAAAATGTGCATTCCAGCTGGGACTGGGTCCTCCATACTGTGTCCAAAAGGTATGTTGGGGTCGCTGAGGTGAATAAGCTGGTATTGGCAACAGAAACAACATTCATGGAACAGAGAGAAAGACACATTCAAGGAATGAAACATCACCTGGCTGGAGCATGAAGTGCAAGGCAGATATGGCACAGGAGGCAGACAAAGGATTGAAAGGACCTTAAGAAGTTCAAGCTGACTATGAGCATGACAGGCAACGTTTAAAGCAGGACCATGGTATGACCATATACATTTAAAAGGTCACTCTGGGTGGAGAGAGGAGACCTATTTGAAGCATGTGGACTGGGAGATCACTAGGAAGTCACAGCAATATCAAGGAGAGAAATAATGAGCCAGGCACAGACATGGTAGTGTGTGCCTATCGTCCCAGCCACTCGGGAGGCTGAGGTGGAAGGATCCCTTAAGCCCAGGAGTTGGAGATTGCAGGGAACCATCATCACACCACTGCACTCCAGCCCGAGTGATAAAAGGAGACTCTGTCTTAAAAGAATAAAAAAGAATGATGGACTCAGCTGTCTGCAGTGTAGATGGAACAAAGCGGACTATTTAGGAAACAGACTGATCCCGGCTGGGTAGCAGATTGGGCAAGAGAGAAGGGAGATCGGAGTTGAAGGACAGCTCCCCAGCTTCTGTTATAAGCAACTGGAAGGATGCTGGTTCTTTGTACTGAGATGAGAAGAAGCGGAGGAGGAACAAGTTTGGAAGTGTGGGGAAGAAGGTGGGCAGAGATGACCGGTGTGATTTCAGACATGTTGAGATCCCCTCTTCCCCACAGCAGCTTAAAACTGCGAGGTTTATTTCTCCCTCACGGGGTACGTATTCCACTGTCACCACTTAGGAACCATGGCTAACAAAGCATCCACCATTTTTTCTCTCTTTGTAATTAACATTTTGAAAACTTGAGGTGGGTGCTTCAAAGTGCACCAGTCTTAACGTGCCCAGTTCTGTGAATTTTGACAAATGCACACATCCATGTAACCCAAACCCCAAACAACACACAGAACATTTTCATCACCCCCCAAAGTTCCCAGTCAACCCCCTCCCTCTAAGGCAATCTCTGTTCTGGTTTCCATCCCACAGGCCAGTTTTGTCTGTTCTTGAATTTCATTGTAGAGTGTGTACTCTTGTGCCTGGCTTCTTTCACTCATCAAAATGTTCTTGAAATGCATCCATGTTTCTGCATAAATCGGTAATTTGTCTCTTTGTATTGCTGAATAGCACTCATTGTTGATGTTTATCCATTCTCCTGTGTATGAGCATTCGAGCTGTTTCCCGTTTCAGCCTACTAACAACGCTGCTGGGAACATACTTGGTCAGCTTATTTTGCAGTAAGATACGCCGAGGTTTAACCCAAGTGTAAGTACCCAGTAAGCAGTTGTATATGTGGGTCTAGGGCTTGAGCAAAAATACCTGAACTGGAGACACAGATCTGGGGAGTAGAGGCAACGAGAAGGTAGTTAAAACTGCAAGGTCATCTTATTTGCAATGGAGACTGCAAACAAAAGAGCCAGCGTGGGACGGAGACCACCTCAACTTTCTTGGGCTAGGTTCGCACACCCTCCTAACTCATCACCAAGCTGGCCTGACCCAAACACATTCCCTCCTCCCCTCCCCACTCCACCAGCTCATCACCTTATCATCGTGAGTTCAGACTTCTTTGAATCCTGGCTCAGGACCCATTGAATTCATGCACTCGTTCTCCGGACTATGAGGATCCAAGTCCTGCCTGTCCCTGTTCCCAGTTTCCATCCTGGGAATTTTCCCATCCACCTGCGCGTCTCAGCACACACCCCCCATGAAGCGTGAGCACGGATCTCAGACTTCCTGATTTCTTCACTTGACTTTGTTTAGCCAGCAGATAAGGCCATTTTGGGGGTTTTTTGTTTTGTTTTGTTTTGTTTTACTTGTCCTTCAAGGAGCAACAAGTGACTAATAGCCTCATCTCACAGCCCTAGAAACTCCCTTCCCTCCTCTGAATCTGGGGCTAACAGCCCTCTTTCCTCCCTCCCTCCCAGCTTGCTTTTATAACTTTTCCCATGGGCATGTTAACTTAACTTCTAGAATCTAGATCAGAAGTCTAATAACCCTGCAAAAAAAAAAGAGAGAGAGAGAGAGATCTAATAACCCCGTTGGTCTGGTCTGCACAGTGTTTGTTATCATTTTAATGTTTAATTAGTTGCCAACTGTTGAAAATTCAGAGACATGAAAACCGAGATCCCCAGCTTCTTTTGAAGAAGGGGATGTGCTAACACTGGGTGGTGCCGAGCTCTTTTGCTTACTTCTTGTTTGCCTGGCTCTGGAAAACACCCGGGTTTGTGGCCCCTACGCAGTGAGCCTTCAGAGGCCAGCAGCCCTGTCCTTTGTCCTTTGAAATATCCCATTGTTCTAAGGGGACAATGCCCA